TTAAAGATAACCCACTTTAGACTAAAGTCATATAATAATTAATTTGAAAGTCATGATTATAACATATTTAACGTAAATGTGCAACATCTTTTCCGATTAAGACTCTACCTCATAGTCGTACGACATGTATAAACAAAACAAAAACAAAAGAAAAAAACTAGGTCCAACTACGAACTTAATGGTGGCTTGAATACTAGCTCATAAACGAAATATATTGATAGTTTTACAAGAAAGAATTTTCCGCGCGCTACGCKTTTGGGCCCAGCAGCGGAAAAAACTCGGCCCAAAATTATTTTGAAAATACAAGAAAAAAATCACTGGATGTACACTCCATTCTCGCTGGCGAAACTTTGTGGTTTTGTATATTGGTTGCTATTGCCTTTGCAGCCGGCAAGATAACTTGAGAGGGGATTTGGAAAGTAATTGTRCCCCTCTTGTCCAATCAGAGTCGAGTAATTTTGTAGAGTGTATTATATATTATAAATTCGCATTTTTTTAAAGGTCTACAAGATCCCAAAGATGGAAAGAGATCCCAAGATGGAAAGTCAACCAGAACCAAAACTGGACCTACCAGAAAGCAAAAAAACGTTGTTTCTGTTCTTTACGTTTGGATTTTTAGCGTGCTTATTGTTTAGTACATTAGTATCGAGTGCTGAAGACTTGCTGATAGGATTCACCTCAGCTACCGGTATGTAAAATGACGAACATAACCCCTCGATTTGCAATAAGCCCCGTWTATACACTAGCGAATTTTGCTGCGATTTTTTTTTCGATTTTGTCCATAATAAATAATGGTAAGAATTTACTCGTAAAGTTTTTTTCAGGATACCAAAGATTTCCCTAGACGAATGTCTCTTTTGAAGGATGAGACAAAAGATTTCATATTTCCGAAAATCGCCACAAAAATCGCAGCAAAGATCGCCGCAAAAATCGTCAGTGTAAACGGGGTTATATAGATTTCAAACAATATATCCGTGAAATATTAGTAATACTAACTTACACTATTTCATGCTACTAATTCTAATGTTTTCTATTGTTTAACTAGCTCTATTTTGAACAATTTAGTGATTAGTATTTCACGGATAGAGTGCAAACAATTAATCCGTGAAACACTAATTACTAAATAGTACAAAATAGTGCTAATTAAACAATAGAAAACAATGGAATTTGCATGAAATTGTGCTATTTAGTATTACTAAAGTTTCACGGTTATATTGTTTGCACTCTAGCTATTGTTTGCACTCTAATAATAATGATAATAATAATAATACTAATAATAATGATACTAATACTACTAATAATAAATAGGTGCTTATAGGGCGCATTTCTAACCTCAATGCGCCTAGCAACGCATATATATATGATTAACTAAAAATAATGTTTTTGAAATAAAAATGTTTTAAGTTTAGCTTTAAAAGTTTCTATTGTTTCTGCTCTTTTAAAGTGCTTATAAGCCTTTACACAATATTTTCAGAATTGATTCTTTAGATAGTGAATAGTTGATTGTGAAAATATTTTGTCATTTGAATGTTGTGCCTTTAAGACACGAAGGTTTATATTCCCAATATGTTAATGACTATGACGTAACATAAGGGATCATTTAATATACAACACTGCACTCGTTCTGGAATACAGTATTTTAAAAGCATCACCCTTTTACTCGTGACTCACGTAAAGGTCCTTACAAATCTGTTTTCAAAAAGTGTCCAGCCTTCAATATTAAAAGTTGCCACAAAATAACTCAAATCCCTTATGTTACGTCATAGTCATTAACTATTGGAAATATAAACCTTCGTATCTCAAAGACCCGACATTCAAATGACGAAATATTTTCAAAATCAACTATTCACTATCTAAAAAATCAATTCTAAAAATATCGTGTAAAGGCTTATAAGCACTTCAATGTGTAAAGGAATTGAATTCCACAATTTCGGCGCAGATGTTGAGAATTAAGAGTGAGTCTCCCTAAAAATCAAACATTAGGTGGCAAAGCTCAAAAAATCAAAATCGCTCAAACTTTCACCATTTATAACYCATGGTTAGGTGAGAAATGCTGTGGGGTTGGTTTGTAAAAATACTTTTTATTTTGCGAGAAATCCGTGAAAAACTGAAATTAGGTGTGGACGTAAAAAAATCACCTTCAAAAACGTCCA